TTTGTATTTCCTCTATTCAATCTATTTTTAGTGATTTTGAGTGCGAAGTATGGTGGTTTTCCCTTGTGAAGTAATGGGTTATTGATATCTGAAATATTACCATATCCTTTAATATTGTCATTGAGTCCAAATGGGTAAGGTGTCATAAGGAGTTTAATCCAAAACAATTCCTTTTCTATTAAAACCTTTTTGTCATTTGTACCAATAGCATCTAGTATAGTAACTTTTATTCTTTTACTACACTTTCTTAAATGATTATATAGTAATGTTTGTTTTTTATTCTAATGTTATTAAGGTGTTCTCCTATTCTGGTTTTGAGTTTCTTATTGTCATTCCAACATATTGTATTCCACAACCTTCACATGTCAAACAGTATACCAACATTGGTTTGAGTTACAGTTGGTATCTTCTTCTTTATAAGTATTGATTTTCAATCCTGTTGTATGAGATATTATGAAGTTTTCCACATTAGTTACTTTACAGGTTCTACATTCTCTTTCACATTTATGTCCCTTGTTATTGTTACCAAAGTCGTTATGACTATCCCCACACCTTACCTTTGTGAATTGGGTTTTAGTGTGATAGTTAGAAGGCGTACATTTTTCATTTTTTGACCTAGAATCTAAGTGCATGAGAGGCCAAACTCATACACAGAAAGGAGTCTTCCCTATGGGTTCGGCAGGACTGCTGCCAGGGGGTTACTCTCCCTGTAAGTTCGCGGCGGAACGACTAGCGCTGGGGGCGCCAAAACTGACCCTTGCGTGCGTTTTGACTTTTATGAACCTCATCAGCGCCAATCCCTATTTTTATTAAGAGGTATGGCCCTCTTGATGTAGGTTGAGGTGTTGTACGGGATTTGTCTTGATCCCTATGAATGAGGAATGTTAAAAGAAAGAAATAATAAAAGAAAGGACTGTAAAAGAAAAGAAAAAAGTGTGTGGGTTAGGCTTTTTCAACAAGGGTAATTATGTTGATTAAAATTATTAGGAGAATATGGTGGTAGGGTTGTTCATGTATGTTTTTGAGACTTGGATTGATAATCTTTATGTGTTGGTTGTTATCTCGGATGTCCAAACAAAATTACATTAGTCTGCATAGGTTTTTGTCTTATACTTTTGTTTTATATCTTATTGTTTCAATCTTATTCTATGCAGAGGCATTTTATTAACTCTGTAACGGAAAATTTGTGCACTTACGACCAGTGCTTTTAATTTCACGTCACTTATTCTGAGTTCTATTGTTTCGTGTTGTTATTCTATTTTTATCTTTGTTTTGATTATGTATTCTTGTTTCTTACTATATATATTACGGTTAGCCCGCCGCTACGCGGCATGACGAGAAGCCTCTGACAAACTGGAATCGGTGAAGCTTTGGGTTTCACCGCTTAACTATAGCTGCTTCGTTAAATGCATTACTGTCCGTTGCTCATCTTGGCTGTATCTCACTGTTTGATAAGCGCAGTGAAGTGCACAGCTAAAGTGATGTATGTAAACAACCACCATGCATCGAGAATCGAGGAAATTTAGCGGTCGAATAATTTTTGGTAATCTCAAGACGGAATGCCCAGTTTCACTCAAAGAGCATCCATTCATCCTCAAGAACTCTAGAAGGTGTAGCGGTTGAAAGGTGTTTGAATTTACAATTATAACGCTAATGAAATGATATGAAATGAAATGCATTATCTGCAATCTGGTTTCGAGTAATCTCTACGTTCGTACGCATATCGTAATTATCAGTCCTCATCTGTCGTTATCACTTTTTGACCCCCACAAAATATGTTACCGTCCACCCCCTATATCATATCTTGAAACCAACTCCTGACGACCACTGGTGCCCGAGCTATGAATTTCGCGACACTTGCGTTCTAGCGCCTTTTATCAGCCCTTATCAGTTGTGATCACTTTCTTTACCCCACCAAATATGTTCCCGTCCCACCCCCTATATCATATCTTGAAACCAACTCCTGACGACCACTGGTGCCCGAGCTATGAATTTCGCGACACTTGCGTTCTAGCGCCTTTTATCAGCCCTTATCAGTTGTGATCACTTTCTTTACCCCACCAAATATGTTCCCGTCCCACCCCCTATATCATATCTTGAAACCAACTCCTGACGACCACTGGTGCCCGAGCTATGAATTTCGCGACACTTGCGTTCTAGCGCCTTTTATCAGCCCTTATCAGTTGTGATCACTTTCTTTACCCCACCAAATATGTTCCCGTCCCACCCCCTATATCATATCTTGAAACCAACTCCTGACGACCACTGGTGCCCGAGCTATGAATTTCCGGTCAGACAGACAAACACATACACACACACACACACACAACCGCTTAGCCGATTATATAGTAGATTCTTTAGGTGTTATGTTGTATGGATTTTATTATATAGTGTCTGTATGGTTCGGTTAAGGTGGTATTCTTGCATTAAACGAAAACATTCGCGTGTAAATGCCACAAGGTGGGTTTCAATGTTACACTTATTAATATAAAATTTTCTTTCAATTCAGAACTTAATGTTATAGATGTATGTGTGTTCTGTGTGGTATCGATTCTGAAAATTACCGTATCTTGTCATAGGTTCCACCTGAAGATTCTTAATGTGTGTCTTTTAGTTGTTAGGTGTCCTTAGTCAGTTATCTCATGTAGATTTATAAAATGCAAGTTTTCTTTACTGTATTATTTAGATTTTCGATGGTTATTTTTTCAGGCACGTGTTCATCCGGTGTTTATTTTTTATGCATAGTGAGTGAGGTCATCGGTTATTTTTGCGACTTTTTGTGATTGCTCTGGGGATTATACGAAGGATGTATAATTATTGTGTTTGTTTGTGAGTTTAGTTTCTTTCGCACAATAATTCTTTTATACGTTGCGTTTTGGCGATTCAAATTCCTGAAGTTTATGTTTTTTGGTGGCTTCATATTCTGCTTGAAGGGTTTTTAGGGTCGTTGCAAGGTAGAGTATTTATCTGGTGGCTTGAGTTTTATTTGGATTATTGTGATTTGCTGTGTGTATGTAGCTTGTGTTTAAATCTTTGGCTACTGTTCTTTTTTCGCATTGATTTCTTAGTGTTTGGTTTAATTAATGGTTATGAATATTTTTGAGTTATTGTTATATGTGTATTACTACATGGGATGAGATGACCTGTTCACTGTGCCATCTCACATCGTTGGAGAAGTTCTTGGCTTGAGACGAACCGGATCGCTATTGATGTAGGCCTGCAGCTACTCACATTTTATAGTCCATAGTGCTAACACAAGGTTGTTCAGGCCGGTCGATTGACGCTTATCACATCATACCGCGAGTTTTGAGATGGTCCACGAGTGAATCTCTAGGGTCGAGGAAAAGGAAAAGCTCACTTCATGTATGTAACATGAGTACTGGTACACAGTGCCATTCCAAAACCGATCTCACTTTGTAATCTTTTCTACTTTTTAAGAGTGATACTGAAGACACTGGTATTGAGCCAGAGAATTCCGAACTTGCAGTGAATGTGGAACCACCATCCACTGACGCGGAGAAATGTTGATCGTGTCCCAAACCTCTTCCGACTTTAATAAATCTACGGACTCTGATGGAATCGGATCGCAGCCGTCAAGCTTCCCAAACCAACTTTCCCAGCTCCCGAATCCATCCGATTCCACAGTGGATTCACAGGACATTTCAGAGTTGGACGAAACCAACCCCAAACTGCTCGAGCAGCATTTTCAGATTCAAGGAAGTCAGCTGCTGAAACTATTCCGTTTCTGCCCATCTTGTGGTGCCAAGATCTCAGAGTCTGTACGATGTGTTAGATTACGAGCAGTAAGGAACGGCCCCTATTGTGGACTACATATGCACAATATGCACTCCCCTTCGAGAAACGCTTCGAAAGACAAGAGAGAGCCGTTGCTCATACGAAGGAGAAGTTCTTCAAAGGGAATGCGCAGGTCGTCGTAGCCGCAATAACTACAGGGACACGATTCGTGGTAGGTAGAATTTTAATTAAAAAAATTTTAAAATTAAAATTTTTCTATACTATTTGTGATTCATAAAATTCAAAGTTTACAGGAGTTAAAACGCTGGGCCGAAGAAGCTGATTTAGTTTTTTTTGGCAAGACTCTTTTTTACAACATTTTTTCGCTGACGGCTCCATCTATCGAGAGGGTGTACGTTGGTGCACCAACAGCGCATCCTGTCAATCATTAGAGAGGAGTACAGGGTACATCCATGGCGTTTTACAGTAGAATGATCAATGTGATCACTAGAATTTGAATTATAGAGAATCGGTTCTGGATTGAACATTGCCGCGGACGGCTCGTATGATAGCAGGGGTTGTAGTGCTGAAATTGGGAAAGTGGTCGTTACTGACCAGCTCACAAAGCTTATAATGCACACGGAGGTTTTAGATCGGTCTCAGTGCGGTCAGTTGTTCTGCTTTCTGATATACATCCCATCTATTTGGTGTTTCTGCAGACAATCATAGCCCCTTGATGGAAGTAGAAGGATTGAGGAGGGCTTTGCATTGGTTAATTATGCAAGGACTGGTAATTTCGTCTCTAACGACCGATAGGAGCCGTAGCTTTGGTGGAGTGTTGGCAGAAATGGAGCAAGTTCATGGGACCAATATTGAGCATTACTTCGACGGGTGGCAACTCGCCAAATGGTTAGGGAACGAGCTACGAAAGGTACTTTTCCTATATTGGTGTATTCGCATGATTGTAATATCCCTCTTTATAGGAGTCCCGTCGCTCCGGATGTGACGCCATCGCTGGATGGATTGAGAAGACTAAAAGGCATTTGTGGAAATGTATTGAGCAGGGCCCTTCCAGTGTGGACGTGAAGCACCGGTTTAATCGTTGCCTGATGCATGTTAGAGACGTGCACCAGTGGGAGGAGGTCATCAACTCCTCTTTACAACCTACATAGCATTTCCTTCCAAGAACTAGATGCACGTCGAGTGCAGACCCCACATCAAAAGTGACGACGGCATCTATGTCAATACGGTAACTAGTGAGTCTCAGTGAGAGTGGGTAAATAAGATGTAATTAGTGACTTCTGATAGGATGGAGGCTAATCCTTCCACTGATAAAAAACATTCGCATTTTGTGGAGTCCATCGTCACTTGTTTTATGTGGTGTGCGCTTCGACGAGCATCCGATTTTTGGAAACAGGGAATAGTTATTTTCTTCATAAAATTGTATTCCAGAACCCTCATACCGGTAGCTACACGTCATGTCACCATGGCCCGTTGAAACCACCAAGGCCAGAGCCGCTTCTATTGGGAAGCGAAGCTTATACATCTGAGATGTAGTCTTGAAACCATGTTTCCAAGGGGATCTGGAGCGAGTAGGGAAACATGGGGGAACGTCGCTGTGCGAGTCGAAGAATGTGCTCGACCGTTTGTACTGCAGGAAAGAAATCTTTTAGTAAGTCATCTTCTGCCACAGTCAGTTCACATCTGATTTACCTCACCATTCAGCCCTCTCGAAACCTACAAGATATACATGACGTTGGACACTCCATTTCAACACGTTGCGTCTTGCAGAGCGTGATAGCAGTAGAACAACTGTCAAGAGACTGATACGAGTCAAGCGAAAGTACTCGTCTCGGCAATCTACTGTGGCGATCAAATCGCATGTTGAGCATGAGTGGGGCGGAGAAATTCTCCGTTGTGTTTTGGAGCTGAGGAAGGGAATGCTGCAGAAAAGCAGAGCGTCGCTGCCTGCAGAGATTCCTCCTCACTTGCAGCAACTTGCAGAAAAAGAGGACACTGCAGCCAACTTAAAAACTCAAGTGTTGAGGATTGAAAACCTTCGTAGTGGCTTAAAACGGTTTTAAACGAAAAAATACTCACAACACACCCAGCACATAACATTGAGTAATCCATAAGAAATGGAAGGGAATACCAGCCCTCCATGAACGTAAAAGGAACTCATCGCAGCACAGTACATTTCGAAGTAATCAATCCGCAGGCAAATGGAAACAGTATCAAGTATATGTCAAAGAATGACTTAACCAGCACCTCCCATCAGATTGCGATAGGTAATTTCACTTCGACTGTGACGAATGAATGAATACGACACAGTAAAACTAGTAATAAAGTACAGCGATGAGGTTTCCGTTTGAATGCGCCCAGCCTCAACGTTAAAGGAACATCTCCTGGAACCCTCCCAAGTCGTTTGATGGTAAATTTTCACGAAAAGGCAAAAAAACCTCATGAGCTGGGATGAAACCACCCCCAGAACCGCTTGAAAAATAATCATCAGTTTCACGCTCGGCACGCGTCCCCCTATAACATGCAAGAGACCGTTCCGGAAAAGCGCTTCATGTAATGAAAGACTTTACTAGTAAAGAAAATAAGTCACTATCTGTGAGAAGACTCTGTTTGAATTCAACAGTGCCCCCCCCCCTCTTCAAGGTGGGACCACTCCGGCAGCATGTCGCGACTGGTAGAAAACTGTCATTCTGGTCCCACCACGAAGGGGAGTACTGGGGAATTCAAGCGAAGTCCTCATATGGATAGTGGTTTGTGAAGGAAAGCGTAAAACACCTTCAACGCACTGGGATCCCGTGTAAATAAACCTCTAATAACAAGGCAGAAGGGTAAGTCGCTACATACGAAACTATCGATTAATAAATAAATCATGCTGAAATTAAATAATTTAAATCACTACTCTGAACAACGCGAATCTATATATTGATTTTATCGCCGATACTCTATGTCGAAGCTTCCGCTTTGTTACACGCAACCAAGTAATCGTCTTAACAGGCGCTGGACAGAAGTTAGTTCAGCATACCATGAACGGACCGGTAATTGTAACACTCTCAGAGGGGAACTGGACAACGAGGATCTAGAATGAAAGGCAAAGCAACGAAGTTTACAGAACATCTATTCTATTTACATTTACATTTACATTTATTTCCGTTATTCATCTGACATAAACAGAGAAACGGGCCATGATCTGGAACCATTCAGAAGTCGTCACCGTGTTCTGCCAGTCTGCTCCCGCGAACATCTTGAAATCGTCTTCCCACCGCACTCGTGGTCGTCCAACTGATCTGCTTCCACAGGGCTTCCAATTCATCAGCCGCACTTCCCATCGCGTCCTGTCTCTTGTCATTAACTTATTTGCGTAAATCCACTTGCGCTTTCTGGCTTCGATGACAGCGTCTTTCAGTTTGGTCCTTGCTCGTATTGCTACGCTCGATACCTTATCGCGAAGTCGGAGGTCTAACATTTGGCGCTCCATCCGTCGTTGGCATTTTCTTATACGATCCTCTGCTGCTTTGGTTAGGGCCCACGTTTCACATCCATACAGTAGAGTTGGTATCACACATGTGTGGAAGAAGCGTCGTTTGGTCATCAGTGGCGTCATTCTGCTTTTCAATAGGGCTCGAACTTTTCTGTTGATGCTCCACGCAGCGCTGATTCTCCGGCTGATTTCTTGTCCACGATCCTGAGGGAAACATATGAGTTGGCCCAAATACACGAAGGAAGATACCAGCTCAATTTCTTCTCCGTT